TTTAACCATCCAGTTCTGTCTGACTCATCAGTTGTTTCTAATATTGCAGGAAAGCTGTGTTCAGTTGGCCAAAAGAAAAGCTGAGATAACCTCAATTATCCATTTTACAAGAAGAGACTGAAAAGCTACCTTCCATTTCTGGTGTGTTCATTTTTAAAGCTGATGGCGCCTCTGCGCATACATTGCATTTACATTGGCTTATTCTGTAAATAGTTAACATATTTGAAGTATGGTTATATTAACGACATCATTCCTCTTGATTTTAGCTCTTGATTTGAAGGCATGATCACATCTCATCACGTAAAGAAATAGATTGAAAGACAATCAGAAATTATAATTGTTCATTAAGTTATGCGTGTATTTGATAAAAAGTATGCACTCGGTCGGGAGTGGTGGCTCATGCCTGTAATCCCAGCACTTTGGGAGGCCGAAGCTGGTGGATCACCTGAGGTCAGGAGTTCGAGACTAGCCTGGGCAATATAGTGAAACCCCACCTTTACTAAAAATACAAAAATTAGCTGGGCATGGTGGCAGGCGCCTGTAATCCCAGCTACTTGGGAGGCTGAGGCAGGAGAATTGCTTGAACCTGAGAGGCAAAGGTTGCAGTGAGTCGAAATCTTGCCACTCCAGCCTGAGCGACAGAGCCAGACTCCCTCTCAAAAAAAAAAAGAAAAAGTATGCACTAACTGGTTAAATGGTCCAGCATTTCTATTTTTAAGTACTTCGTACACAGCTACAACTCAGACATCATTTTTTTCCCCTGTGGTACTCTTTACTTGTTTATTTTTAGAAAGTTTGGGCCAAATCTATTCCATCTTTGACCTTTGGGTTCTTTTCTTTTCTTTTTAGGGAAAGAACTGTGTATACCTTTCCCAGTATGAAGCATACACACATGCTCACGTGGATGAGAAACAACTCCCAGACTTGCTTTTCTGACAAATCAATCAGTGCTAGTAGATATTTAAAATGTCAAACTTCTCATTCAGCATGAGATCTGTCACTGTCTATGTGTTTCTCTGACGATTCCCCAGATCTTACCAACTGGCATGGTTCCCATATGTCAGAATGATGAAATGTACAAGACGGTTATTCAGACTTATCCCTTCTCTGCAATTAATGCAGTTGGGTATTTTTTTTCCTGGCTTCTTGGAAGGTTTACTGCTCTCCCAGGCTTTTGGCCTGCCAGTAAGGTCAAAGAGCTTGGAGTTAGTTTGCTTTCCCTCCAAAATACCAAGGTGCAACCAAACCTTTTTCCATGACCTCTTGGAAAAGTACACAGGAGCTTCATGCCATCTCTCAAGGACTACTCATAGGCATGCCCAGAGCATAGCCCTGAATAGTTAACTGCCTCTAGAAAGGTGGCTTCTCATTATTATCATAGCTTTAAAACATGATTACTAGTAGCATGAGAAACTGGGTTGGGCATTTGATAGGGTTAAAACAGTACCCCTTACTTGTCCTGCAAACTGCATATTATGTCCTCATCTATAAAGTAGAAAGTGACCATATTAAGAATATAGGCTTATGTAAGTCAACAGCAAGTGTTTTGGAACACAGGAACAAGAATATACCTAATATGTGTTAGTAAACAGAATTTTTTCTTTAGCTCCTTTTTGTTTTTTGTTTTGTTGTTGTGTTTTTTGTTTGTGTTTTTTTGTTTTTTAGACAGAGTCTCACTATGTCACCCAGGCTGGAGTGCAGTGGTGCAATCTCAGCTCACTGCAACCTTCACTTTCCAGGTTCAAACAATTATCCTGTCTCAGCCTCCTGAGTAGCTGGGATTACAGGCATGTGACACCACACCCAGCTAATTTTCGTATTTTTAGCAGAGATGGTGTTTCACCATGTTGGCCAGGCTGGTCTCAAACTTATGGCCTCAAGTTGATCCACCCGCTTCTGCCTCCCAAAGTGCTGGGATTATAGGCACGAGCCACCATGCACAGCCTCCCACTCTATTTTTGAACAAAAAGACTAAAAAGGTTAAGAAATATGCCAGGGAAATCAGCAAATGGGTACGACAGGGGATACCCTGGTGACGTGTTTCCCTGTGCAAATCAAAGCATTGTGTCATATACAGCTAGTTCCACCTAGCAAGTCAATACACAGCTCAGACGCATGTCTAGGATCGTGCAATCATCTTCCACCTATTTAGATGTTTCTCGTCCACCTCAGGCTAGCTTGCAACAGGACAGATTTTCAAATTTTGGCATGCCGGTGTCAGGAAATGATTGAATTGAGGTTATTTTTCTAACCTCAGTGTCCAACACGGTTCTCAACATTCCTATTTGTATGCTACCTGTGAATTCCTCATTGAAAATTACTGCAGGGAACATCACTTTTATGAGCAATAGTAATTTGATCAGAGTAGCAGACTCTGAGTTCAACACGAATGAACTTTGAGAAGCAAGTCTTCTACCATCTACTCCTAAGCCTTTATCCGGGAAAGGAGTATTCAGTTAGGAAATTATCCAGATGGGGGAATTGGCCAGAGAAATTTTTGATAGCTTATTTATGTTTATTCTTTTTACAGGGGCAAGACAAGTAAAGATAGAACATTCAAATCAGTCTACCGAGTGGGTTCTGATGTAAGGGAGACAAGAAGTCCAGCATTTCAGTAAGTTCAGAGATTTTTTTTCTCCTGGATAGGCTCTCAAATCAGTGGAGAGACAGACCACTCCCTAAACTGCAATCTATATTGCTAATCCCATGCTAGTAACTCAAATCAATGAGCCCAGCATCTAACTCACCTTCTACTTCCTAAACCTGCCATCCTAGCCCCACTACTACCGTTCACTATTCTTCTTTTCTAGGTAAATACCTTGCGACACCTTGAATTCTTTCTTTCTGCTTGTCATCCACATTCTGACTTTTGTCCTTTTCTTTAGCATTTATGGCGTCCCCTCCCTTCTGTTAACCAGGTTGAGGTCCTCATCTCCCACTGCGTCTGGGCAACACCCACTTTGCTTTCCCTTCCTTCCAACAACTACCCCCCACTCCCCACCCCTAAACTTTTGGAACCCCTGTAGGTATGTCCTGTCTCTGCTCTAGAACTGGCTCCCTTTGCCTCAATAAATATTCTTGTTATTAAGATCCTTTTCCTGACAAGACCCATCCAGCCCTATTTCCATCGCTCCCTAGCCCACCCCTTTTACTCCAGCCCCATGCACAACCATTTCATCTCTGTCTTTGCTAAGGATTAATACTTTTCCTCAACTTCTCCCCCAACAATGCCTAAATCTAAGCCCTCTATTCAAATTTCTGCCTAAATCATCATCTGCCACCAAATCCCCTTACAAGGCTTCAGAAACAACTTACTTCTTCTGTCTGTAAACTTCACTTCTCTTTAACCTCAGCCCCTTCTGGTTCATGCTGACCGTTTTGTTTCTTGTTAACAAATGACCGTGTGTTATGTAAAGGCATTTACCCTCCTTTTCTCTTCTCTGTCCTCACTCTGCTTGTGCCTCATCCCCCCCTACACAGGAGACATGGGAAGAGACTGACAACACGCGTGGATCAGAACCGCAGTAGAACTCCTGTAGACCGTGAAGTACACCTTCTACCCCTGCAGAAAGTAAACTGCAAATTCCGACATTCTTAACTTTGTCACAATTACACAGGATGGAGATTTATTATTAAGTCATTTAATATGCCCAAGATGCCTTTAGGAAAGATTTAAATAAAAACTCAAGGGGCGGGCACAATGGGTCACCCTGAAATCTCAGTACTTTGGGAGGCTGAGGTGGGAGGATTGCTTAAGTCCAGGAGTTCAACACCAACTTGAATAACATAGATAGATGCCCCCAAAAAGAAAGAAAGAAGAAAAAGAAGAAGGAAGAAGAAAGGAATGAAGGAAGAAAAAAAGAAAGAGAAGAAAAAGAAAAAAGAAAGAAAGAGGAGAAGGGGGAGGAGGGGGAGG